GTTCCCCCCAAGTGACTGTTGTGGCATCCCAGAAGAATGGAATTGTCATCAGTCCCCTTTCTACAGCAACTAGGAGAGCAGGACAGAATTTTTCAGTCACATCCTAACCTTCTCCTCCATAATCCAGCAGCAATATTGGATCATCTGGAAAAAACAAGGGAAGAATAGACTTTCACCTGTAGCCTTGTGGGTAAAATGCTGAGCAAGGTTTGGAAGCAGAACACTACTGAGAATTAGGGCAGTGACCCATCATATCTTGCAGTTTGCTGGCAGGACAAGTGGCTTCACAGAACACCAGAATCTGGTAATCTCTCTTTGCATTGTGATTGATGAAGTCCCTCGGGCTAAGATTACTAATTTAGGCAGTCCTGAAGATGGAAAGCATCTCCTTCGTGTACATCACTTGAAAAAAAAAAAAAAAAAAAAAAAAAAGAAGTATAATACCACCTTCCTATTTTTACAGGCAGGCATAGGGTAGGCATTCAGTGCCTTCCCCAGAGTCATTCTAAAGCAAGTCTCCAGTGACAGTGGTAACCAAGGGTGAGATAACACCTTCAGAAAAGAAAAAACTGATACCATCACATGCTGGTATAAGATCCAAATAACTGAATTTTAAAGAGAGTAGTGGGTTTGACATAAATTTCTTACTCCAGTCCTCCAGGACCTTGCTATTCCTATTGATATATAACTGGCTAGTGAAACAGAAGTCAGTTTTTGTGTGAAAGTCCAAGCCAGAACTACCCTGGAAGGAAGTACTTGAGAGACAAGTGCTTATAGTAAAATGACAGGTTGGAACACGAAAATAATACAGAAGATGAAACCTTGGGTGCAAGCCCTCAAGGGACACTGGCTGTGGGATGCAACAGCAGAAGTTTGCAAGTCAACAGTTTTAGAAAAAGGTTATTTTCTTGGTCTCCCTTCACGCTTCCCAGCTAATACCCAACTCTATTCCATCACTCTAAGCACAAGTTTTTTGCACTGCAAAACAGGGGTCTTTGCTTACCCCTGTTCTCCAGGGCTGCCATGGAAACTCTTGGCCAAGGAGAGGATAACTCAGCAGCAGCAGGATTTCAACTGCTGACAGGCAAAGGGGGGCTGGCTTCTACAGCCAGCACCTAGAATCCATTCAGCTCCAGGGAGGGGAAGGAGGGTTACCCTCTGCAGTCAGGCATAAACAGATTCTACTCAGCCTGGCACTTGCAACTGCACAGAAGTGGAAGGCTGAAGAAATCCCTCAGCACAGGCTGCAGGGGAGTGCAAAAAGCCACCATGACACTTCAAGGTATATAAAACAATGGGTGAAGGAAACACAGGGCAAGGAGGAGCAGAAGGAGGTTTTATTTGACAGCACCATGAATTGGGCTGAACCCTAGTAACAGTGGAGGGAACTTCTGGCCTACAAAACCACCTGCATGTAGCAGGCAGAGACACACCTGCAATTCCTCCTTTCTGCTCAGCAGTAGTTTGAAACACCTGTCAAAATTTGACTTTATTTTGATCAGCTCACTGCCTCACCAAATTACTGTTGGTTCAATCTGGCTTTCTGAAATATCTTGGAATCTAAAGTATCTGCACACAAACTGTAAAGAAAGGGCCACAGACTAAGCCTGAAATACTGAAATGCTGTATCAGGGACTGGCCTGATTAGGCTGTTTAGTCTGTTACCCTGCTGGCTGTGGAAACAAATTAGAGATTTTTAAATCTTCCCACTCATTAAAGAAACTAATGATGATGACGCTTCTCTAATAATTAATTTTGTGGCTCTTACTTGGCATACTTGTTTCTGGATGCAGAATGGACATCTCCCTCCTTGCAGAGCCAAACATGCAGAGATTTGATTAAGGGGTAGAACAGGAAGCCAGATGAACTCAGACACTATACATGAAGTGAGATCAAATCTCTTGGAGAACACCTGCAACCTCTCGGACAAAACCCATTTGTTGCCCTTCTACAACTTGAACAGTTACAACTCCATCCAGCTCATTTGGGTTTTGTGGTGCAGCTTTTTTCCAGGTGTAAGAGTGCTAAATGCTGTCCAAGAGAGAAGAAAGAACTCTCCCATGTATGACAGAGCCAGACACCAGTGCAGTGCAGAACACCAAGGAACATGTATGTGCTCTGCTCCTCAGAATCCCACTGTGCAAAGCTCATAACCAGCTCACATCATACTTTCACACAGCTTTTAGAAATGGTAACAGGTTGGGTCCAATGGACAGGATCCAAACCACTGAATGGGCTCTAAAGAAACACGTAATGCAAGCTTCAACACTGTATAATGTGATGGAAATGGAGCAACTGAGCAAAGCACAACATGGACACCATCAAAGAGTGTGGTAAAGCTAAACCTGCACTTCACAGTCACATCAAGGAAAGAAGCCTCCCAGTCAGACTGCTTAGAATTTATTCAAGTCATAGTCTGAAGAAATTAATCGACACGGACAGTCTGTTTTATTCACTCAGGTGACAGACCTTTCTATACTAGCCAGCATTTTCTCCACTGCACTGGCAATCACTGCTCCAAGGTGTGCTGGCGCTGTCAGAATCCAGAAGAACAACTGCCAGCCAAGGAGGTGTGAACAGCAGCAAGCTCCATCCAGGCACACCAACAAGATTTCCAGCCCTAGTCTAGGCAAGGTCTGAGATAATGAAACACTCACGGTGACACATGAGCCTGATCCAAAGTCATCTGAGGCCAGAAGGGACCTGTAATGGCAGTCCACAAGCTTCAAAGCCACATTACTCTCAGAAATCCACGTCTGTTGAAACTGTGAGGTACATGCAAGGAAAGTCACTACTTCACCCATCTAAACATTTCTTGTCCAGCCTCTTGAAACGTCTTCTGACCTGCCCCTGACACAGAAGTTGTTGAGGGCTCCTCCTCTGTAGAGGACATCTTGCCCTCATCCTCCTCTGTGATGCTGTAAATCACTACAGAAGTGGCCAGACTTGCTGTCAACTCTCATCCTCTTAACATCCAACAGCCCTGACCAAACTGCTTGATGGATAGAGAAGGATTGATTAATATGGGAGAAACAGGGAAATTTCATTTCAGTTTCACTTTTGCTGTTGGTTTTCTTAATACCCAAGTTGTAGCATAGATTCAAGATTCCTACAGAACTTCCAAGATGCCTGGAGGACCAACTCATTCAGTCATAGGCACTCTCTCCAGCTGTACTTCTGGGGAACACCACGTGAACTAGAGAAATATTTCCACCTCCAAAAACTGCTGCTCTATCACTTTTAACACCACTTGTTATCAGCTAAGTGAAGCAAGGCTGAAGTGTATAATGCCATGGCATTTTTCCTTCTTGAAACAGAAAGTTCTGAAGCTGCTTGACAAATTCTAAGGACTTCACAGGAATGTTGCAGGCATCAGTATGAAAAAAATATATTTATGTTGGCAACAATTAAAAAAAAAAAAAAAAAAGCAAGTGAGACTACGAAATACAGAGAGAATCACCCATGGTGACATGTCATTCCTCTGTCCCTCTCGTAACTTCTAGGCTTCAGTCCCACCGACTGGGTTCAACAGAGAAAACAAGCAAAGGCTCAGCTTTGCAAGCCCAGGAATGCAGCACAAAGGCTTGCTCCACACAGCAAGCTGTGTTGCCACGACAAGGAAGCCCTGAATATGACAATACTGCAGTTCCATTCTGCACTTGGGTGTAGTCCTTTACTTGAGAAAACTGACTCCTATTGCAAGTTCTCAAACATATCCTTTCTCCAGCGGCAAGCTTCTCAAATCCAATTCAGAATCCCACGTGGAAGCAAATACTTGCACTTCCGACACCCTTCTGAGAACTATCTACACATTACTGATCTAAATGACGGATATATGTCTCCACGTATCAAACAATACTTTGTCTTCAGCAGTGCCCAGGGAGCATCAAGAAGAGCACAGAAGAAAGATGCAACTGCTCAAAAGATGCAGAGAAATGGGCTACACTGCTCAGCAGTGGACTAAGTGGACTAAGACATATTTGTCTCTGATGCTGGCATAAGTGCTGGGCTGGAGACCACATCCCTGCTCTATTAACACTGGCTTGGCAGATGCTACTTTACTTAACTCTAGTCTCCTTTACTAACACTGATTTATGCAGTCAGTCCACATGGGGCAGAGATCTATTGCCCAGAACAACCCACACACCTGGGGAGCCTCTGTGCTACTCCACCACAGGCTTCCCAGACCACCCTGAGCCTCTTATCCTACCTCATCTTCCCACATCCTTCTCAAGCGGCTGTGCAGGGTATTGGGGAAGGAGGCAGCCTTTCCCTTCCTTACCAGTATCTTTAGACACATATCATTAAAAATACCTTAACCAGAGCCCACACAGGCCTGTAACATGCACAATTACATTTTATTTACTCAGACTCAGTATCTCTTTGAAGCATTTCTGCAGGATTTGTCTGATGACCAACCCACCTCTTCGCACAAACTCACAACTCTGACCCAACTTCCATTAAAAAGGCTGCCAGAAATAAACGAAGCAGAGCACGGCACGTGCACAAAGCGGCCAAGCACAAGGGCTGAACCCACCCAAACCACTCGATGCTGTCGGGAGCACAGCAGCCTCAAGCGTTAGCAAAGCTCCGCGCCGCTGGCTGAGCGCGGCACGACCGCGCCTCCCTCCCTTCGCCGAGCTGTTCGTTCCAGCGGGGACCCCCGCCGGGACCCCCTGCTCTGACACGGCCCCGGCACCGCTCCCGCACGGCCGGTGCTCGGCGGCCCCAGGACGGGGGGGCCGAGGGGCGGCCCCGCGCCAGGCCCCGGCAGCCCCCGCACCCCGGTGCCGCCGGACCGCCCTCCCCTGCCCTTCCCGAACCGCGCCGTTGTTCGGGAGAGCCGGCACCGCGCTCCGCCCGGCCGGTGCCGCGGACGGGTCGGCCCCGCCCCGAACCGCGCTCCCCGCGGTCACCCGGCGGCGGCGGCACCGCACACAAAGCCCCCCCCGGCCGCGCTTCTCCCCGCAGCCCCCCCGCGGTGCGGGCGCGGGCGGTACCTGCGGGGCGGGGGCCGGGCGGACGCGCTCCCTTCTCCCTCTCGCGTCTCCGTCGCTCAGTGCCGGCGGCGGCGGCGCCCGCTCCGCTCCATGGCCGCGCGCGCGCCCCGCTGACCACGGGAAGAATGGGGGACCCAGCGCGCACGCGCCACCCGCGCCCGCCCCGCCCCGCCCCGCGCGCCGGCGCGGCGCCGCCCTGCGGCCGCTGGTACCGCGGTGAGGTCAGTGCGCGCCGTGCGCATGCGCGGGGGCCGTTACCGCGCGCCCAGTCGCCATGGCGACCCCGCCCGCCGGGAGCCGAGCCGGTGAGCGCGGGCACGCGCGTTCCCGAGAATGCCGCTCGTGCTCCCGGGAATGCCAGGGCGCCGTCCCCGCTGACCGGTCTCCAAGCACTGCCGCGCCCCCGGTTGCTGCTCTGAGCAGGGACAGGCCGCACCGCTTTGAGAATCCCCTTCGCTGCGCGCGGAGAGCGTGAGGGCTCGGTGCTGCCGTGCGGCTGTGGCCGCGCACTGCCCTCCTTTGGGGAGGCCCCAGAGAGGAACTGTTCCACAGAAACACCGAGTACCTCAGGCTGGAACCTCAGCGGGACACCCGGTCCAACCTCCCTGCTCCAGCAGTGCCATCTCAAAGCACATGGCGCAGCATTGTGCCATGACAGCTCTGGAGTGAGGGAAACTCCTCATTGTCTCTGGACAAGCTGTTCAGTGCGCGGTCACTGCACGCTAAAGAAGTTCTTCCTCATGTTCAGGTGCAAATTCCTGTGCATCGGCTTCTGCCCCTTGCCTGTTCTGTTGCTGGGCAGCACCGACCAGAGCCTGGATCAATCTTCTTGACATCCCCTTTTCGATATTTATACACATGGATAAGGTTCCCTCTGTCATCTCAAGGCTGAGCAGCTCCAACTCTTTCAGCCTTTTCTCATACCACAGATGCTCTAGTCTCTTAATCATCTTTGTTGCCCTCCACTAGACCCACTCCATGTCTGTTTTGTGCAGCCTTAGTTAAAAAGCTGCATTTAAGACTAATTATTTTTTAATTAATATCTAATTCATTTAAGACTAATTCAACTAATTCTTTATCCTTCATGGAAAAATTTACAGTACTCCCATTCTATTACTGAGGTGAGAATGGAATATAAATGCCCTGTGCAGAAGCTCTTTACCAAGATGTATTTGACCATCTTGCTCCCTGGCTTCATGACTGCTTTTCTCCTGTTGGTTGTGGGGAATGAACCTCTGTGTCCCCTCAAACCACCACTGTCCTCGTCCTCTCTGCTGCTGAAGGAAGGCAGCTGGCCTCCATAACACTGCAGTTCCCAACAAGCACTGAGCCTGAGCCATCAAAATATGGGAGAGCTGAATGCGGAACAAATGATTGATTTTCATTCATAACTTTGGGAAATAAACATGCCCGTCTCCTTGGCTCACCTTTCTGACACAGCAATGACTTTTGGCAAGCCCCCTCCAAAAAATCCTAGATTTTCCAGTTTGCTCCTTTGTGCCATCAGATTGCAGAGCAATACCGAACTGCTGCCTTGGGTGAAGCCATCGGCACAGGCTGAGTGTCTGGAACAGGCTGCACAGATGTCAAGAGAAAGCTGGGGATATGAGTGCTTAAAAGGATGCCAGCTCTGAGCAAACTGAAAGCAGGTGATTACAAACCAGCTTTAGAAATTACCATGGCTCTCACCCCCAGGCAGTAGCTAATCTCCTGAGAGCCCTGACTGGCTAAGCACTACCCACAGCAGAGACACAACAGCTCTGCTTCAGCACAGCCCGTGTGCCTGAGTGCTTCCCCTCCCTGGTTGGGCAGTTCTGCAAACAGGACTCCTCCAGTGGTTTTACCCTTCTGTTCTGTTCTGTTCTCCCAACAGCAGCTGAGGACAAAGATCATGGGTACATTAATAAAGGACCAATCATTCCACTTAATCTGGATCTGCTAGAACTACAGGCAAAGTTCTCTCACAGAATCTAGATCGTTCCTGCTCTGTTCCCAAAATACCTTCACAAAATACCTTGCTCATTTTGAGCAAGAAAATGAGATAAAATCTGAATAATAGTAAGTTAAGTGAATTATGATAAGCAGTATTTTGTTTAGTTTTAGTAAAAAATCAGTAACTTTGTATCACACATTTATTATTTTTTGTGTATCACACATTTGCCGTGAATTTATTCTCTTCAGTATTACAATAAAGAGGCATTTACTTTGGAGATGTCCCAAAACTGCCTTCTGATATAATTGTATGTTTGCCTTTTTTTCACAGATTCTTACTTCTGGTGATTCTACATTCACTCTTTGGCAGCCTAAAGCTTTGTAAATAAATGCTGATAAATGCAGCTGGCATAGGTTAAAGTATTTTTTTCTCCCCTCCTAGGTAAAACTTGCACAGAAAATATGGCTTTCATTCTCTCTTTTGTTTCAAGACTTGAGGGGACAACAGCTGCACAAAACTTAGAAGCTTCCTTGTTGTGCAACTGACAGATTGTGGACATTGGTCTTTTTGTGTTTTCTTCATATTTTTATTTTAAAGCAGGTGAAGTCTGCACAGAAATAAATTTGTCACATAATCAGCTCTAATGTTTGGATTTTTTTTCCTGTTATGACTTTTTCCTTGCTCCCTGCAGAGACTTTTAGAACAGTTTATGCCTATATTCAAGACAACCAAATTGTCCGTGAGCAGCAGCACTAATGATGCCTGGTTTCTCACAGGTCTCTGTTCTTTGTCCCTCTAATCCGCCCTGCTCTCTCAGCAGCCCTACCTTCCTTTGTGTGTCCTGTGCCACTCCCCTCCAAGGGTGTCTTGGGGTGACTTTATGATGCTTGTATCCCCAAATCGTCTGTTCTGTTAGTGTTAAAGTTGTGCAGCTTTAAGACTAGTTCCAAGAGTAAAGGGGGCAGAGAAGAGGTGCAGCATTTATTATCAAAAACTGCATTGGCTCCCCTGCATCCTTCTCACAGACTGTGTTGTCTGCAGTGAACAGCAGGAGACAGCTCTCTTTTACTTTTTGGTTAGTTTTTCTAACCAATTGAAGCAAAGAAGTTCCCTGGACTGCGTTTTTCCTCCTTTTTCTTAGAACTGTTCGAACCTGCTCCGGACTGAAAACCCAGAGGAGCACCAGGAGCTCACACCCGTGGCCCACCAGGCCTGGCCTGGGCCACGGCATTTCCCAGCACCGGAGGGACTGAGAGCAGCCTGAGTGAGCCGGGCTGCGACCCACCAAAGGGACTCTTCTGAATTTGTCATCTCGTCAGAGCAGTGAGAGGTTCTGTTGTTTCGTATTGTTCATTTTTTTGCTGGGGAGTGCTTTGCCTATTAAATAAACAGTTTTTTATCTCTTCTCTCCAAGGAAATATTTTTCCCCGAACAAGTTGGGGGAGGGACAGCTTAAATCTGTTTCCTAGAAGGACCCTATTTTAGAGGTTTCCTCCCAAATTTGCCCTAAACCAGGACAAAGGGGCACGGGCAGCACAGTGGGGTTAGTCCAGGGCTGTATCCCCGTGCAGATGGAAGAGCAGCCTTCCATCACAAGGGATCACACCATGCCCCAGCTCCCTCCTGCCTTTCCCGAGGTCAGCAATGATTATTTCTCTCCTCCATTTCTCATGAAACTTGAGATTGTTTCCTTCCCCCTAAACACTGAGAAATAAAAAGGAAGGGGTTAGCCTGACAGTTGAATAGAAACAGACAGACAGACTGGTCACATAAGCCTCGTTTTCATTAGGAAAAGAAGTCCAAAATACATCACAACTGGCAGGTTTTCTTCCAACTTTTTAAAAGTAGGAGGTGAAAGCATTGTTCTGATTCTCACCGTTGAGGTTTCTTAACAATTAATCTCAGCATTTATTCTTGAATTCTGCCCTTGATTCCACGGTGCAGCCCCTCAGCTTTCCCAGGGCCATCACTCTGCATTAGTTCTGGCACACCTGTGACAGACCTTCACATCCATCGCCTGCGACAGCTCCCAATGGAAACCCACTGGGATGGCACGGCAGGATGCCCCAAGGGCAACCAGAGCTAAGCTTCTGGATGGAATCCAGTCTGGAGGAATAACTCAGCTTCTCCAAAGTTATGGTTAAATAACGACTTTGCTGTTGCTAAGGAGTCCTTGGGGATTCATCCTGGGGTGCAGGAAGGACTCTCTAAATGAAGGAAATGGAAATAACCACTGGAGGAGCTGCTACCATCACAAGACTGCTTGACTGGGCCTTCACTACCAGTGGCTCAGCAGCAGGCATTTGGCCCATCCATAACATACTGTAAAAAAAGGTACTTTTTCGTATGCTCTCATTTCTGAAAGATCTCCACTTACTTACCTGTGTCCAAAACAGACTAGTGCAGTGGAAAAGTCTCCTGAGAGAATACTGTTCCCAGTGAAGCTGCACATCTCTCTCTAATCAGTCCACCTGCAAAGTACACTGTTCCTTGCTTGTTGAGAAAGGTCTGGTTGGACACAAGGAGCTGTGTGCTTATATATGTGCAAAACAAAGCGTAGCCCATCTGCAAGGTGACAAAAGAGATGAACTTATGGACATCTGCAGCAAGGACACAGAAAGCTCCAAGTAAGGGCAAAGCAAAGTCAGAAAGCTTTTTAAAATAAATAAGCATAAGGATAGTCTAGCTTTCAATTACTGACACTGCTCTTTCAAATAAAAACGCATCAATAAAACTAGTGGGAAGCAGATGGATGGACTGGCTCTATTTCAGCAGAAACACTGACTCTACCTGAATGACCTGCTCTTCCCCTTTCCTTCGGGACCCTTTTGCACAACATCTGCTCAGGAATCTAAGAGCCTGGTGCTTCAAGGAGTAATGTTTTTATTTATGACAGTATGATGATGTAGCTGCCCATAACAGCAGAGGAAAGCAGTGTCAAAGCCTGGCTGTCCCTGGGTTGCTTTCCTAGAGTTGAGCACACTGCTAAGCAGACTTAGCCACATTTCCTTTATCTGCTGTCCCAGCCTGACTGCTTGCATGGCTAAGGGAGAGAACAGCTTCACTTGACTTGAGGTAGCAATGCATCTCTTCCTTTGCCAT